CTCTACCCTAAGTGGCAGGTCCTTGAGATTGCACACTAAGAACTTGCTCCTGATGAAGAATGGGTCTGAGAGCTCTGATGGGGTTGGTGAGTGAATGTGGCTTCCTCCTTGTGGGGAACAAGTCAGATGACTGATCTAAAGGTTCAGGCCTGAGAGACTGGGTTCAAGAGGATGTGCGATTACCCTAGTGAAGAAACACAAGCCTCTACCTCCACCTGTGATTAAGGGACTGGATAAGGGACTGGAAAATGCATGTCCATGAGTAGGGACTTCACAGCTCAAGAGCACACTACTACAGGCCTCAACCAGTTCTGACATTATCCAAGCTGTGCATGCACATTTGGGAGCTGAACACTCTTATCTTTAGAGTGGACACTCAAGCCCAAAAGCAGCCACTTGGTACTGAGGTTCCATGCTGGGGAGTTATCACTGGCAGATGCTAGGGGTTATGCAGCTGTATTGAAGAGATTGGAAAGCTCTACTCTATTCTCTGGCCCTAGACAATTTACAGATGCATACATGTGTTGTTCAATATTTTTGGATCAATGGGAAGAAGAGCTGAACTTCTACACTGGACCAATCATGTCTTCAAGTGGGACAGCTATTTTTCTCCTGTGGAATTCTTTGCTAGTCACATAGATGGTTCTGGAACCCTCATAAACATGAAGCTCCTTTAAGGTCCTTGGAGATCTTAGTGTCATGTATCATCAGACTGTTGAAAAGGAGGGGATTTGTGTTGTGTTAGTCAAGATTTCTTTATTGAATAATTTAAATCATTAACAAAGATAAATAAGAACAAAGAAAATAAGATAGTTCTTTAATATAATACACATACATGACTTACAGTGCACCTTCACAAGGCAAAGAAGTACAGCCAAATGTTCCTACCACATTCAGAAATAAAAATATACATGACAGTCACTACACAATCCACTTTTAGTTCTGATCTGCATGAATGAACCTCTTCAGAAGGACACACTGACATCTGTCAGGTAGGGTGACAGCAAAATGCACACATGTCCAACTTCTCCACGTGGGGGTTAGGTATCTGCTGTTCTTTTGAATGTGCTTAAGCCATCCATATATAAAGATCACTTAGAGAAACACACCTCACCAGAATGGAGCAAGAAGATATGTATGGCACTTCTAATTTGAGACACTGCAGACTTCACGTTGCACAAGGACATGGTGTGAAGCTTGAACCCAGTATCACCCATCCACTTTCTTGTGTCACTGAAGGCACTTTGCCATTTGGAAAGGAAATTTTCATCTCAAAAAGGTCACCGAGGAGTTTATGTGCAGCTCAGTGGTATAGCATGTGCTTAGTGTGTGCAAGGCCCTGGGGTCCATTCCCAGCATGAAAGGAAAGAAGGAAGGAAAGGAGAAAAGAAAGACAGAAGGTAAGGAGAAAGGAAGGAAGGAAGGAAGGAAAGAAGGGAGGAAGAGAGGGAGGGAGGGAGGGAAGGAGGGAGGGAGGGAAGGAGGGAAGAAGGGAAGGAGAGAGGGAGGGAGGGAGGGAAGGAGGGAAGAAGGGAGGAAGAGAGGGAGGGAGGGAGGGAAGGAGGGAAGAAGGGAGGAAGAGAGGGAAGGAGGGAAGAAGGAAGGGAGGGAAAGAAAGAAGAAGTGAGAGAAGGAGGAAGGAAAAAAGGAGACAGGCTGACTGGCTCTTAGAGGAATATCATAATGAGGAAGATAGACTAAATTCTAACTTAAGAAAAAGAAGTGAAGAAAAATTTAAAAGCAAACACATTGTCTGAGCTCTGGAGATGCTGACCAGTGAGCTTCAGGCAGCATGGCCCACAGGGATGGCAGAGCTGAGCCTACCCACCACAGCCCACAGGCCCTGCCTTTCCTTATTTATACTTTTACAAATAAATTTTCCAAGTAAGCTGGCCTGGAGCCCAAACTAAACAAGAAAATGTATGCACACTGCACCCCTTGCCCAGGCGAGGGAGCGACAGGGAGCAGTCAGAGGAGAAGGAATGAATTAAGAGCGTGACCCTCATTTCCTTAGTATAAAGTCCGTATTTTGATTCCAAAACAAGGAAATTGACTATGCTAATTTCCATAACTATTCACATGTTCTTCAAAACACTAAAGTACACATGCCTATTTACATTTTAAAGAAAGAAAATAAATTAATATCACTTGGGCAAAAAGCCACCCAAAAATAAACTCATGGGTCTCAACACATGTGTTACCTAATTTAACCTGTGAAGCCTTGCCCTAAGCTATCATAGAGAAGAACTGATTCCAATTTCTCTATGGAGCAGATGGGAGTGTGAGCTCTTTCCTCCATGTTCTGAAATATCAACTGTTTCTGGGAAAGTATTGGTATCTTCCAAATTCTGAGCATGGATATCCTTCCTTCACAGCTATCTTCAGCCTATTTCTTTCTGAACAGCACCGGTGGTGTGTGCTTTGTTTCTTAGCTAAAGAAAGCAGCAGCTCCCGAGCAGCTTTGGTAGAACAAAGAGAAGCCTCCTGTCCATGAAGAGGGTGGAAGAGAAAACAGTACCCCAAATCCTGATGACCTCTTGGAAAAGTGGATGACAGGAGCCACAGAATAGCCACAGCCACAGAACTGGCATTTGCTTTGATCCCCCAGCTTTGCAAAGCCCCTTTCCCATCAGAGCTGACATCCAACAACAGAGCTGACGTCATAGGCTCTTACTGGAGCAGCCTTACGTGGGTGTGGAATGAGGGGACATGCAAAGCCAGACTGATCATCTCCTGCACCACTGTAACTCAGCCTGTAATTGTCAACTCGCCTCAGCTTGCCTATAAAATGCTCTTGCTGGAGCAGGGTACCCAGCTTCCTATCCAAATGTGCAAGCTTAACTGCCCACTGGAAGATCCACTCTCAAAACAGTCTCCTCTCTAAACCTCGAAAAACACAAACTAAAGCAATCACACCCACTAATTGTGGGGTCCTTGTGGAAATTCAAGTGGCCAAGAAATCATTGCCTGTATGTGTCCTAAGCTGTCCTTTCCACATGTGGCAGGTCCAGGTGTATAGCAATGTGAGTTAGAATAAAAGTTGCATCTCTTGCTGAAGATCTCTTCCCCAGAGAGTCCATGCCCAGAACTGAAAATGCCCTTCTATGCAGGGTTTTCAACCAGATCCTTGTGTCCCATTTAGCATTTGAGTAGGTGCCAACCTGCTGTGGTCAAGGAGGATTAATTCATGCACTGGCTTGTATATTTTTCCTATGCTCAGTGAACAGCATCCACTAAGCTTAGCACAGTAATAGAACATTGAAGTCAAAGTTTCTCTACCTGTCCTAGCTTGTGTGTGTGTGTGTGTGTGTGTGTGTGTGTGTGTGTGTGTGTATGTGTGTGTGTGTGTGTTTTCTTTTTTAACAAAGGAAGAAGACGAGAAGAAAAAGAAAAAAGAAACATTTTAAGGTCAAAGGGGGTATTAAAAACCAACCTTGGATGAACGCATGGACCTGCTGTGTGTCGCAACCTGAGAACACTGTCTGGAACAAGCAGATTTTTACAGAGAGCGCAACAGTGAAATGATACTGGCCTTCAATAAGTGGCACCTACGTCTTCTTTACTTCAGTCAGGCATGAAAAAGCTATGAGGAGACGTTAACTATCGGCGGGCATGCTTATGGCCATGAGGGTTTGGTGACTAGTCAAGGGCCTCGAGTTGGCCCTCAGTGACAGGGCCACTTGGTTATTCTTACCATTGCAATTGTGACTTCAATTTATAGCTAAATGGGGGCATTGTTTGGCTGACCTAAACTCAATGGCCATTTGAAAATGAGAGCCTGAATGTCAGTAGAATTTCAGGGAGCTTTGCAAAGTCTTGTCTTCATACCTAAATGTGTTTCCTGTTTTGCTTTCTGAAGCCCCAAGCCATCCTATTCCCTAAATGCCACCTACAGTGGTGCTCGGATTCCTAATTAAATACGTGAAAACAAATAGCCCATGAGCTAGGAAACAAGAAACTTTAAACCAATGCCAGGCATAGTAGTGTGTGCCTTTAACTCAGCACTCTGGAGCAGATGTAAATGGATTTCTATGAGTTTGAGGCCAGCCTGGTCTACATAGCATGTTTCAGGCCAGCCAAGACTACATAATGAGACCGTCTCAAAAAAAAAAAAATTGTAATCAGAAATCAGTTTTGCCTTAACCTTATAACCATTGACTCCTATGAGAATTTGCAGAGTTTTGAATTTGTGTAGCTATGATTAATGATCTTTTAAGTGTTTCAATTTACCTAGATTCTGGAGGCACTTTCCAGACACTGACCCTGTACATTGAGCATTGTATCTACCCTGAATGCACAGACCCAGCTCCTACTGGTGACACCTAGGTCTTGAGGGAAGCTCTTATGGTTGTCATTTGAAGGATGTCATTTAAAAGACTAACCACAAATATATACCTCCCCAAGCCACCATGTCTAATGGGGATAAACTTGCACAAAAGACCAGAGCAAGGGGCACTCTGTAAAATGGTGAGGCATGAATCTGAACATGGAATCAACCACTGGGTAGAAACTGTTGCACTTGAGAGAGAGAGTTCAAAATACATGGAAGGTACCATGTGTCAGGGCTGATTTTGCCTTAGAAGCCTTATGTTCCAGTAAGCTAATAATCCATCAAGTTCACCTCATTTCAAACCACATAAAAATGCAAATCAAAGGGTCCAAATCTTAGAATTTTCCTGGTGATACAATTGCCCCCTTGAGAAGCATAGTGCAATGACTAGAAGCCATTTCGTCTCCTCCAATGCGTCCTCCAGAGTTGTACATCTCAAGCACAGCTCTGGTAGTCCAAGAAACAGCATAGCATACCCGCTGCCCCACTAACATCCCAAACTAAAAACAAACATTGAAACACAAGAAGCCAAGAAGGCAGAGAAACATCTTCCCCTCTGTACACTAAGTGGGATGTGGGCATCTGCCTGAGCCCCTAGGGAGCAGCCCTGGGTCACCTACTGAGAGCAGCAAAGCCTCTCCAAGTTCAAGTTCAAGGCTGCCCATGCTATGGCTGCCAGTCATCCCAGGGGTCAAGGCACCAGAACTGCTGATTTTTCCAAAAGCCTTCTCAAAGCAGCAGCAACCGCAGCAGTTTTCCTGCAAAGCAAACAAAATACCAGTCTTGTTAATTCAGCAGGACTTTAAAATTGTAATTAGCTGGTTGTGCCCCTTAGGAAAACCACAGAGGACTTTTCATAATGTATGTGTGTATGTGTGTGAGACAGAAAGAGAACTTTTGACAGATTCCACTGCACACCAGGGCTGGGTTTTTTAAGTCCCTGTGAGTATTTTAACATTATTTGCAATGCTGAAGGACAAGGCCTTCTTTGTTTCATCTGAAGCACAGCCACTCCTGTGCTCTTGTCATCAGTCCATGGTCAACTCCATTTCAGCATCAAAGTGCGCATTTGGGCTAGGCAGGGAATTTGGTCACCTATCATATGGGGTGGGGGAGGGAGTTCCACTGACCCTCCCACAGATGCCAGAAGCCACAGAAGCCAAATTCCATATATAAAATGGACCCCCAAAATTGTGTAAAGCCTACATACATATCCTTACATGTTTAAAATCATCTTTAGGTGGCTACGAGTGCTAGCAATATAATACTTCATGAATAATTATACCCCATTGATTATGGAACAGTGATAAGGAAAGAGTGGGTACACTCAGCATAGACGCAGTTTTTCTCTGCAAATATTTTCTATCTACACTTGAATGGATGCAAAGATACAGGCCACAGAAAAGAAGGTGCTGACTGTATGCCCACCTCTGATAGAGGCTTGTACACTGTTGCTGCCTGGCCTCACCGCTGAGCAACATCTCAACGTTTACCCTCATAGATGAGAAAAGACACAAGGACGGGTGTGAAAGCTACCAGGCTTGATTTAAAGGTATTTTATTGGTGCATCAAGAAACTTCTAATGGATGGAAGGGGACTTATGTGTCTCAATTTACATTATAAATTGTGCCTTATTCATAGGACTTACATCTCTTTCTTTTCCATAAGAATAATTTGTATCCACCAGGTTTTTAAATAAATATTTAATTTAAATACTAGTTTCACATATAACATCTTTCCAGAAACCTCGTTCATCTTTTCCAGTGGATTTGCTTAGTGGTGATACCTACCTCCACACATACATAGACACACACACACACACACACACACACACACACACACACACCATTTCTGTTTCTTTTTTTATGGTGCAGAGAATTGAAATTAGGGCTTTGCACATTCTAGGTAAGCACCATGCCAAAGAGCCATAGCCTCAGCTCTCTTTTATAGTTTTACATTTTGAGACAGGCTTTAATAAGACGGCTGGCCTGACCTTGAACTCATTCTACAGACTAAGCTGGTCTGGAGTTTGCCCTCTGAGTTAATACTTTAAATTTAATTTTTATTTTAAAAATAGGGGTTCCATAATGGACTCTAGGCTCATCAAGCATGAGGCTGGGTTCTACTCCTAGAGCTGAGAATAAAGAGAAAGCAATTGAATAATGAAGCACATAGATTGTGTAGGTTGGTAGATCTGAAACCATTCTGCTTGGCCTGCAAGGAGACTCACAGGCTGAGAGAGAGTAAAGGAACCCAGGGAAGGGAGGCAGCCAGCCCACAAGACCATCAGGAGGCAAACCTGCCTGGTCTCAGTAATTCGAGCAGAGTGTACCCAGCTGTACGGTGTGATCAGCTCAGTGCTTCCGCTGCTGTCTCCGCATGGGCTGCACTGTCTTCCATCACACTGGGTTCAAAGTGACAGCTTTGGCATGGAAGGATTTTACCTCCTCCCACCACCATTTCCTCTTCATTCTTTCCCCACAGACCCTGGCGACAGGCCCGCCTTGGAATGCAACCTCCTGTCACCCAGTACATTCATTCCCACCAGGCCTCAAAAGCAACTCCAGGACTTTCTGTGGGAAGGTGGTTTGTGGTAAACCCAGGGGGTTTGTGGTGGCTGGGGACAAAGCTGCTTCTAAAAGAAAGGCTGGGGAGAGCAGAGATGGGGACTAGAACTGCCTGGTTGCTCTGGGGCCCTGACTGTTCACAGCTCCCAGTATAGGCCATGGCTGAAGGCTGTCACTTAGGTAGGCTAGGGGTTCCTATGGACCTTAAAGCAATACCTTCTTCTGCTTTCTCTCACTTTATTGCCTTACAGTTTTTGACAAACAAAAATGTCCTGTACACACAAATTCTAAACCTTAACTGGTCATAGATTCTTATATAAATGAAAGACACTTAAATAACCCTGACACAGAAGGCTATGTAACAAGCCTGGTTTGAGCCTTTGACTATGATGTACTGATTTAGTCCTTGCCCATCGTATTCTCCAAAAGATTCAAGGCCACTTAAAAGAATGTATCCTGGCCAACAGATAGGCAGAAACCCTGAGGCCAGAAAAATACAGATCAGAATGAAAGATTAAAACAAGTTAGAGCTGGAGTTACTGTTCAGTGTTAGAACACTTGCTTAGCATACATATGGCTCTGGATTTGTCCCAGGCACCACGAGATGAGAGAGATAGAGATAGAGATAGAGATAGAGATAGAGATAGAGATAGAGATAGAGATAGAGATAGAGA